CTTAACCATTTGCCTGATGCTGGCATTCCAGATTTAAATGGAACTGCCACTGAACTGAGTGCATTTGGAAAAGATTCTCAGGAGACTAATAGTCTTTTACCTACAGATAAACCAGAAGAAAAGAAGAAGAGGAGGAGGAGGAGGAAAAGACAAACTAAATTAGGAATAGCACTGAGTGTAAATTATGATAGTGGGAGCTCTCTTCTCCTAGCATTTACTCCTGGAGCTTCCCTGCCTTCAAAAGAAGTTTTGGTTGCAACATTTTCAAAGTTTGGCCCCTTGAAGGAGTCAGAGACACATGTTTTGGAAAACTTAGGTAGTGCTCGGGTAGTTTTCATGAGGACTGCAGATGCAGGAGAAGCAGCTCGGAGTTTAGAACAGAGCAATCCCTTTGGTGCAGCCCTCATCAGTCACCAGCTGCAAATTCACCCAAGTCTGCCACCACCAGCCAAGCCTTCTGTTCCCGTGTCTCTCCCTCACTTTGGCCAGGCACCTCCACTTGACTACATAAAGAAGAATCTGGAGATGATGACATCAATGCTGGAGAAATCAGGAGATAATCTTTCTCCAGAGATGAGAGCCAAATTGGAGATGGAGATTAAAAGCCTCCTGGAAAAAGTCAGCTCGAAGCCTGGTTCTTCCTCTTCCTAAGTAGAAAGTTGTCCATTGATGTGGTTAGGCATACCTCCCTGTTTTGTTGTATTGCTCTTGTAATATGCTCTCTCTTAACATACATTCTCTGTCTGAGAAACTTTTGCTGTAATTTTTTGTTGTTGTATTGAGAGAGAAGCGATGACATTGATTTGGAGAACTTGATGTATTAAGTTAATATTTATCACTCCATTTCTTAAATCTTTTTGTGTGCAAAAAATTTCAACAGACCCACACTGCCATTTGCCAGAGAGATATGAATGGGACAGTTTATTAGGTATTGGTGGAACCAGTTGGCAATTAAATGCTGCCTTTAAGACAAAAATTAATAATAAGGTGTTAATGCTATGTTCCAATCTAAGAATTTTGCAAAAGCAGTTGCTGTCTCTGACAATTAATGAATCCGAGATGATTTTGAAACAATTTTCCTGCCTGTCAGGAATTTGTTTCTTCCTCACACTAACTAGGTGAAGTGAAGAGAGCTGATGTCTTGACAATTCTTCTAAAGCTTGGTGGTGGAGAGAACTCTTCGAATATAAGGTCTTTCTCGGATGAATTCTACAATCCAATCCCCGGGGCCACTAAGACAATCTGATGAGCTTCTACAGGCTTCTACAATACAATCCGTTGGGTCACTAAGACTGCACGCATCATAGCAACGCTTCTCCCATGATTAATTAGCAGAGAGATTAAACAGTTTATTAAACAATGTCAAAATGCAATTCTCTCTTTTTTTATTATATATATATATATATATTTTTTTTGTTTACAAAGGGTAGCAAGATATGCTATTGAAAGTTATATGAGCTCTACCGGCACCAATAGTCTTCCCCGACGCATTTTTTTTTATTTGCAAGCACATCAAAATTGGGCAAGATTTTGTTTGCAAATGGGTTGAGTCGGGTTAACATGGGATTGAAATAGTCCAATATTCACACCGTGTGTTGTTGATCGCCTTGTTAACTGGATTGTGTTTGGTTTACTCTGGATCGAAATAGCCCAATTTGCATCCTTGGGCCCTCAGTAAGTTCGTTAGTTTGGGGGGTGGATGTGGGTGGTTTAAAATGGGCCACAAACTGTTCTATTTGCATCTTGATTCCGACCAAAACATACAACATGGTACAGGTGCAGTATCTTGTTTCATCCCTCTATGCAAACAAAGAAAATTGCAGAGCAGGACTTTATTAAAAGAATTTTGGGTTCCATTTTGTCTGTGGTGATGCATGGAGAAAGGGGTACAGAGATGGGTAGTAGATATATCTAAGTGGGAACCAACTCCCCATGACTTCTTTTCTGCCCTCAGTCTTCTTCCCCAACACGACCACACCTCCATCACCAGGTTCGCCCTTCTTCTTAAGAAAACTTGGGTCTCCATTATCTTCTCTAATCTAATTGGTCTTAGGTTGTTTGTTTGATGTCTGACCATAACTTCCAATTTAGTTGTACTTAAAATCAATCCCAAATTCTAAATTCTAGTGTTTCTAGTGACTCTAATATAGTGTTCAGTTGGGTTGATTTCATATTTATTTTAAGAAACTAGAGTTGATGGCAAATTGGATTAGTATTTTATTAGCAAAATTAGCCCTGATTGGGCAGAAAGCTAACTTTTTTTATAATTTTTTTTTTCTTAATCATGTGAAAGTTCAAAGTTAGAATTTTTATCATAGAATTTGCAAGGTTTGTTTACATTTCCGCCCTTAAAATTTAAGGTTTAAATGTTCCTTCAACTCTGTTGGTGTTTGCCTTTTCATAGATTTTTGAAGATGGAAGACAGAAAACGGGCACTTGTTAGCCGTTTGCTACAATATACTCTTGTACGTGAGGTAACAGGTATCCCACATGGAGAAATTAACATAAAGCGCACACTGGAAGGCAAACCTTATCTGGTATGACAGACGTTTGCAGTTCCCTGCTTATAATTTGATAACTCAGTAATCTCTGACTAGGTTTCATTTGCTCGTGCAATTAAGAATTAAAATGGATGGCAAGTTTTCTGCATTTTGTTGTCATGAATAAATTGCAAACTTCAGAATATCAAAGCCATTCCATGTTCTCTTTTTATGGTGAATTTAGGTCTTTGGTGAGAAAAATCTTTGATTATTTTACTACCAACACTATGAATTTTTTTTTTTTTTGGGGATAAAATGTTAGATTTTATTATCCAACACTATGGATTACAAGTCAGATGGAAGAAGTGTGATGCTTGTTTGTTTTTCTGTAAACTTTTAGCAAGGTGTGAATTCTTTCGCTTTCTTCTTATCTTACATGTCTTCACATCTTGTGGACACTCATCAATGTCCGATAAAAAAGTCACTGTTATTTTCTTGTTGGCCGTTTTCCTTTGATTTTAAATCTTATTTGGCTTGTAATTTGATCACTGTAGTCACGTTACTGTTCCCTGCATGTTGTCTCCCTTTTTGTTTCAGGATTGTGACAAAGTTGGCTTGGAATTTCCCAATTTTAATTTCAATGTATCTCATCACGGTGACTATGTGGCAATAGCATCTGAACCTCTATGTCTTGTGGGGTTGGATATTGTTTCTCATATGATTCCCCAGATAGAGACCATTCCAGAATTCATTCAAAACTTCTCCTCATACTTCTCAAATTTGGAGTGGGATAATATAATGAATGGTGGCAGTAATGATGAAATTTTAATTGAGTTTTACAGGTATTTTTGTACTTATATATTTTCTCTGGGGTCAGCTGGAATCAGTATCTTCCCCTAGAAAACTCTCTCCCATAACCTTCCTCTCCTATTCTACTGCCTAAAGTTGCAGAGAATGTCACATTCGAATCAGGGTCCATTTAGTGTAGGAGAAAATATATGAAAAGGATGTATTTCTGCAAACTGCTTAACTCTGACTCACTGTATGCTTCTACACACTAAGTACTGAAATAATGTCTTAGCTGAAGATCTGAGGCCCAGTGGTCTGGATTCCTTCTTCACTTTGTGTGTCATAAATCAGAGCTTTCCTTTTGAGTACATGGTGTACCTGGCTCCAGAGTGTCCTGATTTATTACTTAAAGTTCAGGTCCAAGTTTAGGATTGTCTCTGCCACTAGAGCATGATGTCAATTTGTTTTTTATGCATGTCAATTGTTCAGCCTAGCAGGTGGGGTTCAATTTGAATTACTCAACTGTTCTGTATTATAATCTGTAAGGATATTTTGAACCCAACAGAAGCAAATCCGACTATCAGAGGAAGCTCCCATTGCTCATCCAATGGCATGTTGAATCAATACATGCTTTTGACTTGAATATGGTTATGGCTGTTAAACAAGCAGAAAAACATTTTATTATTTTAACTGGTTATAGATTCCTTTCAATTTTCTATGCATGTTTGAGGGTAATTTACACGTCTTTGCAGATACTGGTGTCTGAAAGAAGCATATGTCAAAGCCATTGGTAGTGGGTTATCAAGTCGACTAGACAACGTGGAGTTTCATCACAGTAGCTGGAGAGACATATCTGTTAAAATTGATGGGGTGTACAAGAAAGAGTGGAGATTTTGGCTTTTTGAGCTAGGGAACAGACACTGGGTGAGTATTCACCATTTTTTTTAATAATTAAATTTTTATTGCAGTATTTACATAATGATTCATTATTTGTGACATGGTTAGAAGATACTATGCAGCATAAGTATGTTATAATAGAAAGTGAATACGGATCCGTGCCGTGAAGTATGATTAGTGAATTAACATATTCAAGATGAACATCAAATTTCTCACCATCTTGTCAATAACAGTTGTTAAAATGTTTACAACTTTGCATGCCTGTTCTAGCAAGTGTACTACCATACTACGTATTTCTCCTATAAAATTTCTTCAAAACTATGTTCAATGTTATCGTTCTTGCTCTCACTGTCCATACTAAAAGTTGATATTGAATTGAAGGTATCGATAGCAAGGGGTGACCCAAGAGCTGCAACCTGGAGTTACAAGAGAACATTAACACGAGCAGAGTTTACTGAAGTGGAGTATAACGAGGGCCTTCATCTTCCATGTGCAAGTTTTATCTTTAAAACCGTAGAACAACTCTCTTCTGTCCTACGGAAAGCAAGAAGATAGCAATATTGATAAGTCTTGTGTAATATGGTTTGAAATGAGCATCGGTCCAGTTTTTGACCTGGAAATACTTTATGCAAATCCAATAGATCATGCTGAACAATGAAGAACAGGTGCAGCACTAACCCTTCAATGTCAAGACGAGCAAATGAAGCAGTACGCCCTGACTAAACGATCTTCAATGGGAACAATGAAGTCACCGGCATAAAGAAGATTTGGATTATTTGGAAGGACAAAGAATGAACAGAATAAACAAATAGACTATTGATGAAAATTGTCATTTGTTACAAGGGATGAGATCGTTTGAACCACATAAACAATTTGGGCTTTCTATTTCCTAGTAACTTCATCAGAGAAGTTAACAAAAAAATGGAGATAATTACAAGCGCTAATTGATCATAGGTATAAACTGTATTAGCAGGTTTCCCTGATGCCGGCATGCTCATTCTTATCTGAACAGTTGGAATAATCCACGGGAATGTACAGTATGCAGCCTTCCTCGGAACATATTTAACTGAACATATTTAAATCTGAAAGGTCATCCATAGGTGTTCCAAGACCCTCTAGCTCATTATCTTGTAAATTATCTACTTCAATATTCGACCATAGTTCTTCCATGGAGAATCCAGGTAGCTGCAAATCTAAATTTTCCTTTGCTCGAGATTCATCCTTAGGAATGTTATCATGGGGCATTGACCCAACTTCTCTTTTCTTATTGCCACTACCTGAGGGATACACAGGATGAGTTGTCTCTGCAAACTTGTTGATAAATCCATTTCCGGAGGTTGAGAGCTGAGCTGTCTTCTGCTTAGGCTTTGATTTTGTTTTGCGGTCTCCTTTAGTATTACCTATTGATGCACGACCAGCTTTGCCAACAGAACTTTTGATATCTTTGTCTCTTTCGCTTCTCTTTCCCTTCGCTCCACCCAACAAAGTATTCCCAAGCACTGATGCAGTCCTCAAGGAAGCGCTCCCCACATCATCTAGCAGCACTTCCTTTTTCTTCCCCCTGTTTAATATTGGCCCAGTTTTTGCAAAGTCCTGGTCTAAGGAGGTTGTAAAAGTGCTGCCAAAGGTGTCAAGTGGAACCTCATCCATTTTATCGTTATGGGGCCGATCAGCTCTACTAGTGAGAGGACCTGCAAGTAGAAAATTGATTTATCAAACACGGTAGAATTGTATCCTTTTTAAGAGCAACAGGATAGCATTATTGATGTAAAATACCATATAACTAGAATAGCATGGAGCAGAAACCCTGATAAACATAAAGAAGAAAATAAATTCACTGAATTTAACCGTCAGTGACAAGTAAAAATGCAAAATTGAAGCACCTTGACAGATAAAAACTATCATAGGTGCAATGAAAATATGCCAACAGCGCATACATTCTGTGAAATGAAAATATTAGGCTAACCTTGCATCCCAGGCTCCATGTGGTAGTTTTGATTCTCAGGTAGACCAAGGGCATCATTTTGCCAAGGAGGTGAAGCCAAAAGGGCATCCCGAAGTGCAGGCTCAGTAAAGCAACTTTTGCCAGTTTCTTCAAATTTATGACATCTAGCAAGAGTCCTTTTCATAAAAACAAGGGCAACGTGTTTTGAAACCTTAGGGATACCACTTTTGGAAGCACTACTTCCCCGTGTAGCCTGACATTGTTAATAAGGAGAAAAGGACAATAAGGAATGAGGATTGGATTATTTTCAGGGAAAATAAAAGGAAAAAGAAAAAAACAGTTCTTTGGATAAAATCCACAAAGAAAAGGACAGCTATTACACCTAAAAAAGAGATCAAGATAAAATATGAGAACAAACAATGTGAATAACATAGCAAGAAATGAGAAATTACCAGCCGTTTTCTGTAAGCCAGCTCAACAAGTCTGTCCATTGCAACGCGCTCAAGGTTCCTGCAAATTGACAATGCAATTCTAATCTTCAGGAAAATTCAAAAAATGGAACAACAATCATAGTCATCAGAAAAAGTTGTATGACACCATACCATCCCTCAAGTTCCTTGGCCTCCTCCATTGCTTTAATTATCTTTTTCAGGTGTGCCTTCTTTTTATCAACCTATAGAATCAAAAGCACAGAAAAAGAAAGAAAAACAATTCATTCAGCAAACATGAAAAAAATCATAAGTAAACAAAACAAAAATGACCGGTATTTCTTCAAACAATGACAAGAATATTTCTCCCACAGATGCAAATAATCCAATATTCTTGCTTTTCTGTAATTTCTGCTGAACTTTAGGAAATAGATATGTGTAGAAAACTAGTTTTGGTTAAGTAAAATAACCTGTTGACAGAGCTCCTTCTGTAGTTTGCCAATGTCTTGGTTAATGGTTTCATCCTCTCCATCTGCTAGAGCAGGCTGTTATAGAGCACACATAAACAGGGCAAGAGGGAATGAAGATACAAAAAAATCCAAAGAGAAAGGAAGCAGCTACAGGTTATCAGTGGTCCTCAAGAGGACGAGAGCTATGGTTTTGGAGGGTATATTACCATGCAACTAGATGAAGATGTATTCCAATAAAACAATGGCATGGAGCATAAAATTAATGAAGTTTTCAAAAAGGTAGAAGAAAATAAAACATCTAATGCAAAACAGGAAAAGAGGAGAGGATAAGGAAACTACATGAAAAATTTCAAATTATAAGTTTTTTCTATGCAGATTGTTGCTTATTTAAAAAGAATCTTACCACTGCATCAATATAAACACCAAGACTCTGTAGTTCCATCATGACTTTTTCATCCACACACATTTGCTCATATTGGCAATCAGGGGAAGAAATTCCACCAGAAGTTATGTGCACAGACAGTGATCCATCACTACTACTTTTGGGAAACTTGGAAAACATTCCGGTTTCTGAATCTAAAAATCTACAACCATCTAGGAGCACATCATCATTGTGTGCTTTGGCATGGAAGCCAGTGCTCCTATTAAAGTTTGTATTCCCATTACAGGAGATTCTGTCAACATTACTCTGTCCATTGTCCTGAAGACACAATGACTCATATTCAACCTCGAGTCTTGGCCTCTTTGTAGTCCGAGAATCAACAGGAGAGCATGTACCACCAGGCATATTATCGCTACCATACTGAAAAAAAATATTGCCCTGTCCACCATTTTCCTCAAATTCCTCTGTTTCATCTTCCACAATTAGAGCTGACAATACTATCTCGTACAATGGAGGGATTTTGCTGCCTCTTCCCACATTTGATCTTCCAGAAAGATTACCATCATCTTGAACTTGATCAACCTTATCAGCAGTCCTTGATTCGTTTGACCAAATACCACTCTGCATGCTTCTCTGTCTTTCTCCAAAATCAGGAATTTGGGACACAGAATTTTGTTCATGCACCAGATCACCCTGAGAAAAAAGAATTTCTTCAGAACCACAGCAAGCAGATGTATGTGGTAGAAGTTACCAAAATATTATATCCACAAACCTGGGATAAGCTCTCATGATGTTTCTCAGTAGATTTTAACTAAAACAACATGGGAAATAAAAGATAGAGATTTATGAGCAATCAACTAGAAAATGAATAAAATTAAAGTATATAAAAGCAAAACATCATCTTTCCAATAGTTTACTGAGGTTAACACCTGCTGCTTCAAGCAGGATATATCTTCTATTCTGACAGAAGCAAATGTTAGTTCCACTTTCTTCCAGAATGAATTAGAACATCTAAGAGCTGCAAAAAGAAAGTAGCAGTACTTGGTGACCAATATCCCTTATGTGTAAGAGATGGAACACACACACAAATGCTGAGACAGACAGACATACAAATAAACCAAAATGCATGATGCTTTTGCATGGAAAGAAAACAAGATTTTAGGTCTGACACATACAGCTAACATCACTAGCGAAATTAGCAACAGCCAAAAGTTCTTCACGATCATCATCTGATTCACCTGAAAAATTAAACATAGCACATAAGATTGCACTAACAGATTTCAGCAAGGAATGACATTGTATAACCTTTTGTCTTTCTCTATTTTCCCTCAAGAAAAAAATACAAGAAACAGAACCCATGTGTAAAAGACCACACTGCCTTGCTGAAGATTGGGCAGTAAGGAATGAAACAAGGAAACATAGCCCTCCTTGCAAAAATACTCACATCAAATACTTATAATAATAGCTCCCCAGAAACACCCATAAAAGGATTTTAATGGAATGTTAAAATCTAACACTCTAATTTATAGCAAATAAGATAAAATATTGAAGGAAATCTTAAATCCAGATGGCCGAAGATCTAGGATCTTTAAAACCAATACTCTCAGTCTCTGACTAGAACGTGATCAGGAGAACCTTTTTCACTAAATCATCAGTTTTCTTCCCTTCTAGCAAATAAACTAAGATGCAGGAAAGGTTGCACTTTATGATGTTGCATCTCATAAAATATTGAAGAACCTTAAGCTTTGTTAGCAAAAGACATAGTCTAAGTATCTAGTTCAGATGTACATTTAACACCTCTTAATTGAGATAATACCTGTGCCATCTGGGGAACCAGTTGGTGTGAGCCCAACCCGCGTTACCTTGCGATCTAATAGTTTCTTTAGAGGGGGGCGCCCTGACTTGCTGCAAAAATGAAAATGCAAAGTTTTGATGAAATATTGATATAAGGTTTAGGAAAAAAAGAGGAACAACTTTCATCCTGCTTCAAATGAAAGATTCATAATACCTCCCACTCTTATCAGAAGTAGGCCTTGAATTTTTAAGTGGCTTGGTTGAGGCTGGAGTGTCCAATTTCTCCCTCATTGGTGAAACACTAACCCTGGAAGCTGGTGGGCCCCTACCAGTACGTCCTTGTCGCCGTACACCATCTCCAATTTCTTCCCTATTGAGTATTTTATTTTTCTTTCTAAATAACAAGGGAGATCCAACATTCTGAGGGGCATTTACAGTTCTTTCCTCCATTTCATTATTGCCTAATCCTTTATCTTTCAATCTACTTTCTCGATTTTCACCACCAGTAGATTCCTCACTTTCAGAGAACCTAGCTGGAGAAGAAATATTTTCCTGCTTCACTCGCTTTTGAATGCCATTAATGCCTCCCTTGGAAAGAAGTGGCCCATTAGTCCCGATAGAAGTCATTTTGGGGCCCAATTCAGGGGGACACAATTCTCCCGATACTTGCATCTCATCCAGGTTTGAGACAGGAGATACCAGGTTTGTTCTCCTTGTACGAGAAATTTTTTGTGGTCTCTGACCAACCCATTGAGCCATAGGAGATGAGGATGATCCACTGGGCAAAGAACGCTTACGGTTGTTAACCCCAGAAATTGGATGGACTTTGTTTATACCAGGAGATTGTTCCCAACCATCAAGTGTTCCAGATGGGCAAGGAAAATTAGGAGATGAGTTTGTTGATGTTAGAGGACCTGTTCTAGGAGCCCGAGAGGCCTTTCCCTTTGTCACCGTACTAGGACTCACTGTATGGTTATCCTCACGCATGTTTAATCTGAATACCACAAATTATAGGTAAATCAAGCATTAGAGTTGCACTCACTGATAAAAAGTTCACATACCAGACATATAGAAAGGACTTCTAGTCATTTGTAACATTTCCATTGTCAGGTAACAACTGCCAGTGTAATGGATGGCTGCTAAAGAATGCCTACATACCTTGTATTTCCTTTTGCTAAAGTTCGCTCCTTGGTTGATCCAACCATGGAGTCCCTTGAGAGAGAGAGCTTTTCTATATCATTCTTTGGAATCCCACGGACATTTGGACTGGCAGCTAGGGATGCATTGTCAAACTTGTTCATTCCATTTGGGCCATTAGACAATCCAGATCTGCAGGGAGTATAAGTACCACAGCTATAATATGTTAAATTTTCTTGGAATTATTCTTCACATAAAAGCCAATTAATTACAAAACAAAGAGTGAAACATCTTTCGCTACTTGAACACCCATTCTTGTTCTGCATTCTTACAAGTAATCATCATGCATGCTTCATAGACGTTATAAATGCATATTAGGGAAATATGAAGAAAAAAAAAGTCAAAAACTACAATGGAGGAATTTGTCTGTTTTATCTTTTCTGACAGCAGAATGAAGTTATTATCATGGTTACTAAAATACATTTTCAACATGAAAAAGTAAATAAATTTTATGTACAACTGAAATGCAAGGAGGAAAAAGAAAAAGAAAGGCTATGTCAGATAACCATGCTCCTATTTACCTGAATCCTTGAGCATCAGAAGATTGAAGACTGGTTTCATTATTAAGCTTAGGATGCATAACCCGTTTAAGCTCCCCATCACCATCCATGGGTCTGGTGAAAACATTTCCTACCGTACGTTTCCTTTTCATTCTCTTTTCCCATCCTTCTCCTCCAGCAGGCAATCTACGTATCTTGTCTTCAACCAGATCAGAACCTTCACCACCATCCTTAGGCATGTCCCTATCTCTTCCCATGACTAGATTCTGCCTAGCTGGATTATTACTGCGGCCCTCAGCCTGAAAACAGTAAACAGAGATGATAAGGACTCTTGTCTTGATAGTTTGTGTGACATTATTAGATTTGCAAGTGGATAATATTTCACAAAGAAACATAATGTCATATAGGGAAACATCCATGCTAATTTTACAGAAAATTTGAACCACTCCACAAATAAAATCATAGAGCATCTATGCATTATTGGCTGAAGAAGGAACTCTGGGACAGACAAAACAGTCCTTCAGGGAAGATTCTTGAATTTCAAGGCTTTTTTTTTTTTTTTTTTCTAATTTCATTGGTTATCCTTCTTAAAAGAAATGGCCTCTAACTTGAAAATATAACATTTCATCTTAACTGGAATTGTTAATATGAAAAAGGAGACGGAAACTATTTCTGAAAAAAAAACAAACAGTACAGAACAGCATTCTGAAACACAAATATCAAGAGTAAAATTTTAATGGATAAAAATAAATATCCCAAAAACATACTCGCAATTCTGCTACTGAGGAGCGAACACGCTTATTCAGAACAACATTCTTAGTCCTTTCCTCAAGTCTTTGACTCACTAAATCAGTAGGGTTTCGATGCATTAGTGAACCCATCTTCAGCAAATTTGAACCACCAGATCGGGCAGTTGCTAACATCTCATTCCTTTGTTGCTTCTTCAAACTTAGAGCTTCGCAATATTGGTTCAGTTTGTATAAGGACTCATCCAACCTTTTTACCCTACCACTGATTTAAAAAATACATTACATCTTTAGCTGAGAACTGAATTTACAAGTCATGTCAATTCGATAAAACCCTGATGAATTTGGTACATGTGTCCAGGGAAAAGTTGATAATAAGAATAAATTTGGAAAACATATACCAGCTTCAAGCACCTTGCACCTCACAATTAAATAACTAGAACCTAGTAAAACACAAACCAATAGTGCAGAGAATATGGAAGAAAAGAAACAACATTCATGGACAACTGAGATCCAATAGAAGAATTAACATTACCTGGCCTTTCTACAGGCATCTAAAATGCTCTCTTTAACCCGTTTTAGTTCCTCTGTATCAACTGGAGGGGGAGGCTTCATATGAGAGGCTCTGGAAGAATTATCTTCTGCAGTGCTTCCAAAAGAAATTCCTAACACTTTCCTTAACTCTCCTGACCGTATATATTTTTGATCTCCCATTGTAATGGGATCCAACATCAGTGGAGGTACATCTGCCATTGATGTAGCATTCCCACGGGACATATTAGTTATAGAATTAAACATGCAGCTCTCAACACTCTCTCTGAAGCTTCCTGACCTATCCAAGCTGGAACCAGGATAATTTCCCCTCTGCCCATTTTGATAGTTCCCAAAAGGGTATTCCTCAGGAGTAGCTGAGCTTGAGTCAAACCTCACATTTCCCGCCATCATTCAAACCCAATTCAAACCACTCATCATATCATATATAGAAAGCCCATCTCCATTAACAACTTGTTTCAGTAATAAAGCAACTACCACAATAACCTAACTTCCACATGCATTCAAGTCACAAGTTAGCAATAAAAACCAAGAATATCTAACTATTGAATGGAGGGAATTCACTTAAAAAAACAATCCTTCGTTGATGCTCCATATTTTTCCCAATTAAATACTCTTCTTACGAAACAGGCAAATATTCAAACACTGAATAATAAGCTGTGACACCTAACAAAAAAACTAACTCTACTTTTTGTAGCTAAGCAAACCCAGTAAAGAGACACTGAAATAAGTACAACTTCATTTTTATTTCAAAAAAAGCAAAGAAGGAACAATCAACTCACCCAAGGAAAAAGTTATTACACGAAAAAAAAAGGCTCCATATTTTCTGGCGCCTAAAAAACACAATCTGATATTCAAAATTTTAAACTTTAATCTTCTCCTAC